CCAGAGCTCCCTAGATAAGGTGAGGGGGTATTAATAATCATCTACTAGTAGATTATTTCTGATTTGACAGAAACTACCAGGTTTTGAGTAGATTTGATATTCCTTCTTTTTCCAGTTCCTTTACCCCATGATTTACCCTAATTAGAGTATTGGAGATACAGTAAAAAGTAGAGATGAGGATGGGAGACTGGCTGTTTGATAATATTTCAAATCATATATGTGGGAATATTTTTTTCCCCTTTATCTTTAAATGGGTCATTCCTTGTTTCTCTATGACATGGTGACTGCATAAAAAATTGAGTAGAAGACTTTACCTTTGGATTATTTCCAAATATAGCTCAAAAATTAGATTTAAAATTGTGACCATAATGCCTGGTTTTCATCTGATTGCAAACCCCCCACTCCTATCTCTACATTTGACTTATTGTTTTTTTGTCTGGGAATCTTGCATTCCTGGGTATTCACAGGTCTAATGCTATACTGCTTCTTATTTTGGCTACCATGTTGTTACTGCCTTATTATATATTGTCCTTTCTGCTAATAATTTTTCCCCTTTTCTGAACTCCTAATAATTTCTTATTGACAAATTATTTTCATGCATTTTCTTTCCATGACTTGTTCCTTGTGAGGTATTCACTTAGTATTATTTTGAACCTCACAAATGTCAGTATAGTCCAAGGTCTGTAGTAAATGACTGTGGTGAGATTGTACTAGAAACAGAAAAACGAAATAAAAACTTTCTGTTCTTCATAGGGAACTGAATGTAATAGGCATATAGGATATGGGTATCCCATCTCTTGTGGTTTCTTGTTCCATGGATAGTTTTTGATCGTGAATTAATAATAGCATTTTTTTTTTTTTTGAGGGATATGCATCCATGTGTATAAAGCATACCTTAAATTGTTGTAAAAAAGATTTCTCATGCATGCCAGATTCCAGTTTATAGAAAGTGCCTCTTCACTGCTCAAGAACAGGCTAATTCTTCCTCACTGATTTCAGTATACTCAAAAAAACCAGACCCACTGCTGGTGAGTCGGATCCGACTCATAGTGACCCCTCCTTGGATTTCTGAGGTGGTATCACTAAGGAAGTAGATTGCCCAGTGTTCCTTCTGAGGACTGGCTGGTGGGTTTGAACGGCCACCTTTCTGGTTAGCAGTCAAATGCCTTAGGCACTATGTCACCGGAGCTCCTGATTTCTGTATAGATTCCTTTATTTGACATTCATTGTGAAGATGCGGCACTGACCAAGACAAACATTACTCTTGCCACTATTGTGGAGTACCCTGTGGCATGCAAGATTTTTCATACTGTGCCCCACTGTTTTTAGTTCTGTTTTCCCTTACCAACTTCCTAGATACTTCAACTTCAAAATATTAGTTATTTTTTAAACTTGTCCTATGTGTATTTTCATCTGTCTTTTTTCTGTTATTCTTCCTGAAACACTCAAGTCATGCTTATCTTTCATAGCCTTGTTTAAGTGGCCCTTTCCTATGAAGATATTTTTCTTAATCCTTTTCTCTCTACCTTCCTATTATCTTTTCCTCTTCTAAATCCCCAATGATACAATTATTTGGGTACTTTCGCTCTCTCTTTCTCAATTATAAGGCTCCCAATGTAAGAATAGTATGTTATCTTCTCATTGTCCTTGGCATTCTTTTTGATAGTCAAGAAAGTAAAAACCTATTCCATGTCAATATTACTATCATCAAAATGGCCAGTTCTCATTAATTTTTAAAAATTGAATTAATTACAAAACACTTAGGAAGCAAGTACCATTTTAACTAAGTTGAAGTGGAGTGATGCTTTATAGTGTGGAGGTCAAAAGGTCTGTAACATTTGACCATTCCTTTCCCTTTCCTTTAAGGATTCTATAGCTAGAATTTACTGTTATTAGAGCATCACAGGTCACAAAGGGTCCTTTAAGGGCTTACTGATCTCCTTTCTTTAGAAAAGATCATAAATAAATGGTTTCAGACATGAGTATCTTTACCTTATTATTTTTTTTAAAAAAACCTCTAAAGAAGAAGATTTACATTTTTCTTGATAAATCATTATAGATGAAGTCTGCCATTTTTTTTATATATGCTAGTAACTAAATATTTAATGCTTAACTAAAGATAATTTTATGATTTATCTTCTCTTATAAAACTAACTGGTAATGTCCTTGTTTTGGGTCTTATTTTATATTTTTACAATACCCGCTGGTTTAGGCATTCACTGTTGAATATATGGAATTGTGTAATAGCTTCTCAGTTGATATCAGTGACCCGTGGATCTTCTGCTACAGCCCATAGTATAATAGCTGTGGTTTGATTTTTCACAATGCCATCATGTCAGATCTTGCTGATAAAAGCAGTAGGAGTTCCTGGTGAGTTTTCAGATGAAAATACCTCAAATACCTACTTTTGAAAAAGAAAATTTAATTTGTTATGCATGCAAACATCACTTTTGGGGATTCATACTTGTGTGTGTGTGTGTATGTTCTCCCTGGTGCTATAAGTTGTTTCTTATATCTTCAGTTAGTTAATGCTGTATCTACTTCCGTTTTTGGAATCTATTGTCAAATAATTTATACTTTGTTAGCTTTTATTTCATTAGTGGAGAAAATGTCAGTATGTTTGTTGATACAGATAGCCTTGTTATTTTAAACTGATTGCATTGTCTTAGGTTTTAAATATATATAAGATCATCATTATACTGGTGTCATTTTTCTAACTCTAATGGAAGGATCTTTTAAATAAATTAGTTATTTTCTTATGTGTTCTTGAACATGTGGTCAGTTGTCATGTTCATACATCCACATGATCAAAGTCTGAACTTCTGTCTAATTCTTCCCTGCTGTTAGGCTACCCTGTCATGATCAAGGCCTCAGCAGGTGGTGGTGGGAAAGGCATGCGGATTGCTTGGGATGATGAAGAGACCAGGTGAGATGCTGTCCAAAATATATTTTTGATGTAAATTGCAGTTACTAGAGTTTTATTAAACTGACAAATAAACAGATACCAAAATCATAATGGAGTAATTATGAAAACCATATGATTTTTATTCTTTTAGAAGAGAAAAAATTAGAATTATTCAGAAAGCTTCTTTATTTATATTTTAATGATGATTATCTTACAGAAAGGTTTTTACTCCCTTAAACATTAACACAGGATCTTCTTTTTGCTTTTACTAAGTATATGTGTTTCTTTTTATTATTGTTATTAATATGTATTGTGATCTAGGTGAAAGTTTACAGAACAAATTGATTTTCAATTCAGCACTCCACATACATTCTGTTTTGTGACATTCACTGCAATCCCCACAATGCAGCAGCACTCTTCATACTTTCTCCTCACACCCACCACTTCCCTTCTTCCTTCCCATGGACTCTCACCTTTCTAGCTCTATCCCTGGGCTATTGTTGTCCTTTTGATCTCCTGTGGTTGATTGTTCTATTGAATGCAAATACTGTATGCATTTTTTAAGTTACATAGTCATGATTCCAGCTTATAGACAAAAGTTACTAACATTTGGTTGTAAAGTTTTGAAAATAATTTTAATATTTTAAGCAAATGTATTTTTTAAGTAGCTATCATTTCACTGAGATCTTATGTATTACCCCAGTGCTTATTTTCCTTTGCTGATCTATAAAGGCAATGGATTACTTTGACAGTTTATAGCATGGGATATATTATATTTTTTCTTTTGAAATTGTAATTATGTATTTAAATGGAGTATACTCTGTGGTAAATTTATAACATTTTTTCATTACTAGCTTCACAAATCAAATATAACCCTTAATATGTAAAATACTTTTTAAAAAATCCAGTGTATTGATGACAGCATAGTGATTAGAAAACAGTTGTTTGAAAAGCTGCCTAATAAAACTGGTTTTAAGGGACTCTGTTCAGATTTGTATGTATCCTATATTTGTTTTCAAGTTTGGCAAAGGAGAGATTTATGTCTTCATTTTGGAGGTGAGGGATGATAAAAAAATTACTGAATTATTATTAGTGTTGCTTTTCTTGCCTTGACTCTGCCCTGAAGTATTTTGGTCTTCCAAATAGTTAGTTCACCGTACTTTATTCCATCCTGTTCCATGTCTCGTCTTCCCTCTCCTCCTCTCACTTCTCTGCCCCTCCCCTGCCCTCCCCTCCCCTCTCTTCCTCTTCTTTCCTTTCCGTCTAAGTGATATTTTCTTGGAGATTAAAAAACTTTGAGAGCCAAAGAGAATGTCTCTGTATAAGCTATTTTTGGGGCAGTTTATTTAGAAAAAAGTTTTTAAGGGAAATGTTCATATGCTTGTTCATAAATGACTTAAGTAGATGATAAGTTACATAACTAATGAAATTAAGTTTTGAATAGTGAATGCCACTTTTATTTTATTCAGGAAATAATGAAGACTAAACCATGTTGCTACTTTTTAGAAGCTAAGTGTTTTCTCCACCTGATAGTTTATAATCCATTTGTGGTACTAATTGGAGTCATGATAAATATGAGTTGAGATAAATGGAGTGGATTCAGGAGGGAATTGAAGTTAAAGCATGAAATGGAGCAGTTGGTCAGCATAAATGACAGATGAAATTAACAAAGGTGGGAGTTAAGGGAGATGCTTGCATCAGCTGCACTCACTATTAGAAAAACTAGTTCAAGGGAGACTGATAGAGACCTGGAGTAGTTAGTCTGAAAGTCCTAGTGCAGGGAAATCCAAACTTAACTCAGAAATTAGGCTTCAAATTAAGCAAGCTATGTGAAAATCTTTTAGAGGCAATATTATCCTTCTAAATCTTATGGGAAGGAACCATGTTGGAAACCTCCACAGATAGTTTAACTTGAAAGAATATTGCCTTAGAATGCCATTGTTTCTTTGATTGAGCATCAGGTAAAGTAATTAGTTTGTGCTGGAGTGATGATATATGAGAAATGCAAGTTTTAAGCATCAGACTCACTCTGAGTGTGGTACTGATGGCACATCTTGACTAAGCTAACATTGGATTCTTACCTTCTATCTTTTGCTTACTTAGTCAGCAGGAATAAATTCATTGCATGGATTGGTAATATTTATTGAGAGCCTACTATGTGACATGCACTGTTCTAGTTGGGTTCTTGGAAATACAGCAGTGATCAAAACAAAAAATCCTTTCCTCTAGGAAGTTTATATTTGATAGCAGAAATTCTTCATTTTGAATCCAGGAGCCCATAAATTCAGAGGAGGCCCATGAACTAGGATGGAAAAAAATATATATATATTTCTTTTATTAACCTTTAACTAGAGGTTAGCTTTTCCTCCTACTAGTGACAAATCACAGTAGTATTTAGTGTGTATATTTAGTAGTAAATAGTAAGTATATTTAGTAGTAAGTAGTATGTATAATTTTTCACTAATAGAAAATTACGTATATTTTGTTATCAAATTATACTTGTTGCACATATCTTGAAACTACAATGATTAGTAGACCAATGCTAGAGTTTATTTAATGTTTTAATAAACAACCACATATGTTTTGCCATAGGACCATTTCTTGAGTGATCCAGGAACGAACAGTCAGTTGGCCAGGTGGTAGAAGGAGATGTAGACTAGGAAAAGATAAGGCCAAAGAGGTTGAGGATAAGGGAGAGCAGATTATGTAGGGTCTTCAGGCCATTCTTGTCAAGGAGTCCTCGTGGCGCGGTAGTTAAATCCTCAGCTGCTAACCAAAAGGTTGGCAGAACCCACCAGTGGCTCCTTGGGAGAAAGATATGGCAATCTGCTTCTGTAAAGATTACAGTCTTGGAAACCTTATGGGGTAATTCTACTCTGTTCTATAGGGTCAGATGAGTTGGAATCAATTTGATGGCAGTGGTCTTTGTTTTGTGGGTTAGGCCATTTTTACTGAGACTGAAGGGTTTTGAATAAAGAAGTGATTGTCATGTGACTTAAACTTCTAACATTATTTCTATTTTTTAAATATAAGAAATTTCAAACATACGAAGAAGTAGGATACCATGAAATTCTACATATATGTATCATCCAGATTAAACAGTTATTAAGATCTTAATGACAGATTTAAAAGGATCACTTTGGTTGCTGTGTTGCTAATAAACTGAAGAGGGACAGAGGTAGAACGAGAGAAAAAAGTCAAGGGGCTATTGCAATATCCTGTGCAAGAACTAATGGTGGCTTTCAATAGGTGATAGTGGTGGAGGTGATGAGAGATAGCTAATTCTGAAAGTAGAGGCTTGCTGAACGGATATAGAGTATGAGAATAATACTCAAGGGTAACTTGCAATATTTACATTATTTTATTTGTTTGCTTTCATTCTGGTCTTAATGTTGAATTTATGTGAATTAAATGTATATGCTATAACTTGTATTACATAAAAATTTTTTGGGAAATGCTGAGAGGTTAAGGTCAGACTGGGGGTCTTATCTTTTAAGATTGAAGAATACTTACTTGGCTCTGGTTTTTAGTCTCTCCCTGGAACTCTTTAGAACTGGTGATCCCCAAATTTTGTGGAATAAATGTATGGCTGAGTGTAACAAATTATATTCTTACGATAGTGTGGAGTCACCTTCATATGACAGAGATGTGCTCAACTATGTGAAATTTTTGAATTGGGCTGGTTGCTGTGTATGAAATTGAGCATAATAGGAAAAGGATACTTCTTTTTTTTCCAACCTGATAAGCTACCCTGTTTGACTCATATCAAAGTTCACATATTGGGCTGCTTCTTATGCTCAATTTGTAACCTCTTTGCACAAATGAACCTCTCCATGAATGGATTTTCTTGCAACCCAGTAGATTTGGACTAGAGGTCTCCAAAAGCAGGTGTTTAAAATCCATCGTAGAAGTTGCATCATTTGTTATGTCCTGGTCTGTGAAGTCAGGCTGGTCAATCTCTACTGTATCATATTGATTATTAGTGAACATGAGCTCTGCCCAAATTCAAGGGGAGGAAATTAGATACCACTTCTTCATGAGAGAGTGGCACAATTCTTAGACGAGCACATAGGATGGTAGTCTTGTAGTCATCTTTGAAAAATATGATCTACTACAGCCTCTTTGTAGAAAGAATAATGTAATAAAGATGAAACACAACTTAATGGTTTTGTGAGAAATGTATATTATATAAACTTTTAAAAGCATTGTTTTCCCTTCTTATATGGCACTATTAAAATAAAAATAATATTAAGCCAATAATTAATTTGAAGTTTCTTTAATATATGATTTTCAAATCTGGCAAAACTTCTGACTAGAAAGTCAGAATGTTCCAAAGATGAAAGAAATTCCAAAAATTCTTTTACCCCATCTTAGCAACATTGCCATGGAATTACAGCTGAAATAGTATTTTTATAATAACAATTTACACTAAAATATACCTTCCAGCTGATTCTGGAGTTTCTGTTTCCAGAAGCAGAATGAATTCTTCAAAAGAGGACAATGCCCAAGGCGAAATGATCTTTACTACTTAGCAAGACTGTTGTTTGACTTCAAGATGAGTTTTAGGATAGGAGCTCTGGTAGCATAGTGCCTAAGGCACTTGACTTCTAACCAGAAGGCTGGCTTCAAACCCACCAGCCACTCCTCAGAAGGAAAGTTGGGCAATCCTACTTCTGTAGTGATACTGCCTCAGAAACCCAAGGAGGGGTTGCTATGAGTCGGGCCGACTCGACGGCACATAACAACAACCACAACCACAACCACAACAATGTACTTCAAAAGGAGCTCTGGTAGTGTAGTGGTTAAGACATTTGGCTGCTAACCAAAAGCTTGGTGGTTTAAACTCACCAGCCACTCCATGGAAGAAAGATGAAGTGGTGTGCTTCTATAAAGATTTATAGCCTTGTAAACCCAATGGGAGTCACTATGAGTCAGAATTAACTAGATGGCAGTGAGGTGTTTTTTTTGGGTGGGGGTGGGGGTGGGGGAGGTAGTCCATTCAAGGCTCAAGATTCAAGAGA